GACACAAACCTCATATCAAAGAGAGATTTTTGTACTATATTCAAGGTAATTTTGTTCCCAGATTCAGTAGTTAAAAACTATTTTCCAGGTGTTTATTCTGTCAGGTAACTTGCCCCAAAGTGCAAGTGTTTATTTTCAGTAGGCATTTTTTTTCAGTCAGTGGTATTGTTACTAATATTTTTCCAGTTTTTTCTTTTTAACACTTAAAGTTACATGTAAAACTCAGAATCCTCTCAACTATTCTTCCACCATACAGCAAGTCTAGGGTAGTATTCTACTTTTTTATCTTGCACTTTATATGAATTGCAATAAATAAGAAAGATTATTGAGTATTAATTAGAAGGGCATAAAGCTCTTAGAATAATTTACAGATTAAAAATGTAAGTATACCAATTTCAGCGAAACTTTATTGCCAAGGACATTTTAATTTTTTTTTTGCCTGTAATTATAAGATATTTGATAACAGGATTTCGAGGTAATATATGAGATGGTTGCTGCACACTTTAGAATTCTTTTCATTTTATGTCAGCAACATTAAACTGCTCTCAATTAGCTTCTTATTGTTAATACTCATTAAAAAGACAAAGAATAGCATTAAAATATGTATGAAGTTTAAATAACTATATATATATATATATATATATATATATATATATATATTTGCTATTAGAATGCTTTACTTTTTTTCCAAGGTTCTTGAATGTGTTCCTTGTCAAGTAGGCCTTTACCTTAATCAGGTAACTACTTAATCTGTGATGTTCCCCCCCCCCCCAAGAGAAAAAAAGTTGTCAGTGAGGTAAGAATGATGATTAGGTAGAAGAAAAAATTGCTAAAGGGAAGGTTCCTGAGTAGAGTTTAAGAAATACTCACAGTATTATTGAAGAATTTCAGAAGCTAAAGTTTGCCCTTTGAATTAACTTTCCTTGAAAACTGTTCAAATAGAAATAATAATAGACTTTGTTTCAATATATGCTAGGCACTGTTCTAATGCTTTATATATATTAATTTATTTTTAGCTTGTATTAATAAACTTGGAGTTTATTTTGGTTCATTTGTGATGTGCAGTTTTAGGGATGCCTGATGTGATATAGGGGCTTTAGTCTGAAAATCCATTTTCTTTGTGGTGCGTTGTACTTCTGATAGGTAATGTTGGAATCTCTTTTTCATAGAGAGGTTAAGTTACTTGCCCACGGCCACACATACAGTAGGGATAGAAGCAGGCTTTGAACATAGGCACTCCAAATTAAGTCTTTTGTACTCTTATAGGATATACTTTATGGCCCTTTATCCTAAAAATAGGGCGATGAAACAGTTGGTATTGAATAGTTCTTTATATTGATGGCATTTAAAAAAAATAATATAATAGTTTATTTTTACATCATTTTGTGCCTTTTTCCATCTCAGTTGTAATTCCCATGGGCTTCCCATCACCAAATCACCCATGTGCCATATATTGATGGCATTTTTAAGTACTTAAAGAATGTTTGAATAAACCTAGGTCCTTAATGAGTTGTTACTGAAGAGAGTTTTAGGTTCACAGAAAAAAGGGTAAGTGCTGCTCAGCCACACAGTCTGTGCAGGCATGTAAACACGATGTTTGGTTTTATGCTCTGCTGTTACCACCTTGAAATTCTTCATCTTTGAACAATAGATGCTGCATTTTTATTTTGTATTAGGCCGCAGAAATTACGCAGCTGGTCTTAAGAAACAGCTAACTTATGCAGTTCCACAAATTCCTATTTCTCTTAATCTACCGAGTCAGGATTCAACTGACCATCTCACCACTGTCATGTTTTTTTATGTATTTATTTATACAAAGCTCTTAATAGTCTCAGAATAATGAAGAACTGTAAGGTTGACTAATAAAGTATGTACATCTAGAATGTATAAAATTGTCTCTTTCAATTTTTAAAAGTCAAATCATGTATGGGTTACAGGATAGAGAAATTAAAGAACACTTTCATGAAAGACAGGCTCTTAGTAAGTGATTGAAGAGACATAAAAAGGACTCTTCAAATGAATGAAAGATGCATAGGAAGGACATGGCTTATGTTTTTTAAGCATCTAGGGTTAGATTAGCATGTCTCCTCGGATTCCACAGTACTCCATTAAAAGAAATTTCAAATTAAGAATCATGGACTTTTAGAACTAGGAAGACTTGAGATAATTTCACATAACACTTTGACTTTCCTAGTGACTGACCCATGGTCACAAAAAGAATTTGAGCTTCCTAATCTCTAATCCTTACTTTTCCTTGTCTTATAATTACCGTTTTCATTCATAGTACTACTATGTAAAGATGTCAGCATCAAAAAAACCGACCAGCCAAACAAACAACAATCAGGGAACAGGAATCTTAAAACATTTTATTGTTTACCTTATAGTCTTAAATATTTTTATTCCTCAAGATAAGTCAAAAAACTTTTTTTTTTGGTCTGTTACATAAATGATACTTAATCAGTGCTTGTTGAATAAGTTGGATAATTAGGGCACTATGAGGAACAAGGATATGCAATTTTGGAAATGTACCTATTGCTTAAAACACAGTGAATATACTCAGACCATTGTTCATTTAAGATGCATGGGCAAAGACACCTTTCCTCATTGCCCATTGTACCTCTGGTAGGTAATGTTGAAAGGACTGTATCTGGACTTAGGGTAGACTGCTCCTAGCTTCTACCTTAAATACGTCTACCCAGAATGATTCCAGAAATGTTTGCTTCCTATACTTTGGCAAATGGTACCCTTTTATCTTTATCTCTATTGGGAGTATAAGAATTTTTAAAACTTACTTGTAGATTTATAAAGACAAGAAAGTGTTTACAAGTGCATTTGAGAGTGCTGTAATATAGATGTGGTTGTAGGAAATGCCATAATTTGTTGTCCTATTTTCAGCTGTACTCTGGTAAACTGTTTATTTAAAAACAAAGCTATTTTGAGAGAGAGAGCAGTTATTTCTAGAGACTGTTTAAAAATAAATTTATTTGTATCAGAATTCTGATATGGGTGTTTAATTAAAAACTATTAAAATTATGATTTCTGAAACCTTTGCAGAACTGGATTTTGCTTTCTCAGATATGTATTTTAATGCAAATATTTATCTTCTGTAGAGTGTCAGGATTAATGGAGAAGCCTTCATTCAGCATTCTGATCTTAAGTGGGTATATTTTGTTACCCCTCCTTATATGTCTGAAAGGGCTCTGTTGCAGCCAGTGCACATACTTCGAACTTTGTTTATGTTGTTAATAACTTTACATTTCATCATTTCTTCAATATTTCTCCATTATAGCAGGTATCTTTTGTATACATTATACTGTATACAAAAAAATTAGAACTTTCTGCATACTGAACAGGTTTCAATTCTAATACCAACTCTGATCATTGGATAATGATTGGTTTAGAACACTTCTGAGAATTATGTATACCTGTTTGTAGCAAAAAGTAGGTGTAAAATGGGGATTTGTGGATTTAGACTTTTGATTTATTCCTTCATACATGAGGATAATTTAGTATTTCTAAAGTGACTTGAAACAGTTTAGGATTTTCTTCACAAAGTGGCCCTTTTCTGCAAAAACAGAATTAATCATCCTTTACTGTTGTTACTGTAGCCCTTTATTACTTTAGTTATAGCACTTATTTCTTTGTTGTTAATCATTTGCTTGTCTGGCTTTACTATGCATTGTGAACCTAAAGGAAAGAATAATATTTATCTGTACACCCAATTATTTATTTATCCTGAACTCCCAAACCTGTGCTTGGCATGTCTCTTCTATTCAAAAGGTGAGCTGTTAACTTCATTAATAACAGATATTTCACATATTTTATGTGAACAGTGAGATGTTTAGTTAACATTTATTATGTTTGAGTATGAGGATTAAATTTAAGCCCTAGAGTGATGGTGCTGTGAATTTGAAGAGTCAGATTCTTTGGAGAAGAGTAGATAGGATAGCCATTGATGCTTTTTGAAATGCCAGAGGACTTGGGGTTTGAATGTTCATGTCTTAGAGAATGGTGATATAATTAGAACAGCAGTTGAAGGGGGGGATAGATTTGGGTGAAATGGGTTTGCTCTTGGAGATGTTGGATTTAATGTAAATGGAGGACTGAAAGTGAGGATTTGTTATTTGGGCTAGTTGAAGTAGCGTCCTCTTTATATGCTCCATTACACCCTACTTTATTGTAAGAACTTATTCAGTGTCCCTATGTCCCTTTAGACTCTAAGGTCCAGTAGAGCAGAGAATATGCCATGTTCAAAGCTGTATTCTGACCTTAACAAGGTGTAGTCTCCTGCCCAAAGTCTTTGGACCATATTCCAGATATAGCTGTATCTGGTATTCACTGATACTGTTCTACATTGGTGGAGATCCATATTATGTACATTCATCTTTTTACGGGTATATCTGTACCCTATATGTGTGTGTACATACACACATAACTTCTGGGCTTGTAGAGAAGACAGTGAAATGATGACTGGGATGGACTGGACTGTGGCTTTCTCCCAGTTTTTTTAGTCATTTGTTTCTTTAGTTTTTGACCAATGGTCATTGAAGGGATATGCAGTTTTATTCCTGGCAGTGTTAAATTTTGGGGTTTGTTAGCGATTAACACATAAAGTTATGGATAAATTACTGATTTTGTTTTCTCTTTCCTTGCCCAAATTAGCTTGGTGAATCATTGGTGCTAGGTTTACTATTATTTGATAGTACAAGTCTTAGTTGTAAATACACCCTTTTAAGAACCATTGGGCTTTGTCTTGGCAATACTTTTTTTGAAGCAGAGTTTGGAAAAGGTTCATCTACTGAGACCATAATCAGAGCTTATAATTTGCAAATTTACTGTTTCTTTATGGTGTTGACATTGGCTATCAAAATAAAATAAGCTTTTAATATTTATAGCTTTTCAAACAAGGGCAGTATACTTTTGTTTAGAACAAATACTTCCTTAATTTGAATTAAATTTTTAAAAAGACATTCTCCTTTGCCCTTTTGGTTTCAGTATCAAGATAAAGAAGAAGTTGTCTTATGGATGAATACTGTTGGGCCCTATCATAATCGCCAAGAGACATATAAATACTTTTCACTTCCATTCTGTGTGGGGTCAAAAAAAAGTATCAGTCATTACCATGAAACACTGGGAGAAGCACTTCAAGGAGTTGAATTGGAATTTAGTGGCCTAGATATTAAATTCAAAGGTAAGTAACCCCTAATAGTTCTTATAATAAAAATTAGATTGTACATCAGCATTTCTCAATGTTGACACTATTGACTTTGGGGCCAGATACTTTTGCTTTGTGGGGGAGCTGATTTGTACATTTAGGTTGCTTATAATGGGCTTCTCCCTATTAGCTACCAGTAGTACTCTCCTGTGTCCCAATCAAAACAGTTTTCAGACATGCAAATCCTCCCTGGGTTGATTAGACTCTAGTCTCGACACTGCTTTTAGGCTCTAAAAAAGTCCTGATCTCTAAACTAAGCCTGTTGCTTTTAGAAAGGTGTAATAACTAACAAAGAAATAGAATACTTATAAGTACTCAGTTGAATACTTAAATATTAAAACTTTATTTCCTTACATATTTCCTTTGGAAAATGTTTTCTAATAAACCCTGTAGTGATTAGGCAAGTGGGGCAGGAGAAGGCCTTTTGTAGAGGCCTTTCTGGCAGCGCAGGATATGTAATAACGGATACTTGAAAATTTTGTAAACCTCAAATTGAAAATTCTGCCATCGACCTGGAATATATTTATCAGTTTGTATAATTTACTCTCTCAATACTTGCAATATAGTTTTTTTTTTTTTTAATTTTAAGTTAAAGTCTTGTTAAAATTGGAAAAATTCTCTTCATCTCTTATGCAGGTATCTATTTTGTCAGGTCCTTTGAGTGTTATACTTTCTGTTTTCCTATATGCAGTTAGAAGGTGTATTTCCTGCATAGATATTTTCTAACCTGGTGAGCAGCTGCTTAAATAATTGAATTTTTTGCAGTATCTGATTTTTGAATAGGGGGGTCTTGATTTTTGAATAGGGCATGGATCTTGTAATCAGAAGCCTTGAATTTTAGTTCTTTTTTTCTGTAGTGATTTTAGTAAAGTTACTTATTGCAATTTTGACTTTTATATTAAATGAACAGTTACTAAGTTGTAGGATTTATTTTAGCACTTTCAGGAGGATGGGTGATATTTGATTTTGACTTGTTAAATTTTATTCTTTTTAGACTTTTTTTTTTCAATATATTCCTTGAGACTTAGTTATCAAATTTAGTTGTAAATTTAAGTAGCAGTGACTTGGCCTATACCTATGAATAGTAAATATGCCCTGAGGTTTGTGTTTTAATTTAATTAGGTAATTAAAAGTTTTAATCATAAGTAGAAAACAGAATATTATCTTTGAGCACCTCATACTAAATTTATTCATGTTTTTCCTTTTCCATATTTAGTATACATTTCTAGTTTATTAAGAGTGTAACTAGTAAGAAATAGGTAAAAATCCTTATACCTTCTTTGCTATCCCTTTTCACTTTTTGACATTTTCACCCTTATTTATTAAAGAGGAGTCCTTTTTCAGTTGTCGTAATCTTTCTTATTTTTTAGTGCCTTTGAGGCTGTATTGGAAACATTACTGAAAATGGAGGCAAATGGTTTTTCATGGGTATAAAAGTGGTATATATTTTCCTTTCAAGTCTAAGCACTTTTAGACTAAAAGAACAAAAATTTCCAGTTATTTCTTCTCAAGAGCTAGTGGTTCCTTGAAGTCTTGGCAACTTTGTGGTTCCAAAGTGTTGGTGAGATAGGCTGCTAAGGGAGTGGCTAAATGAAGTGGTCTAGGTGAAATAGTAAATGCTGATTAGATTTTTCTTTATACTGTAAGCTTCTTGCTTACAATGTTCAAAGATAAAGTTGATCAAGCTTTGAAGAGTATTTTGCAAGATTTCCTGGTTGTTATTTATAGTGTCATAGCATTTCAAAGTAAAATGTATTTTAGAGATTGTCATCTGATTTCCTCTCAGTGAGGCTCAGAAATGAAATGATTTGTCCAAGGTATATCACAGCAAACTGATAGTGTTATGGAAGCTCAAACCTGTTTGTGAACTGTGGAAATTTTTATATTGTTGATCCTTCTTCTCTTAAGTATTTGACTTTTAGAAGTTATTATAAAGGAATATCCAAATAAGAAAATAAAATTTTGGATATATTGTGAAAACAGAAAAAGAACTTTATGTGTAAACAGTATTTATATACCTTTTTGTACATACACACACACTTCCCTTTTTTTTATTTTTTTTTTTAAAGATTTATTTATTTATTCATACAGAACTGGGGTACAGGCCAGAGGCTCAGGGGCGGTGAGAGGCTTCACCAGAGACAGAGTGGGGAGCAGAACAGGCAGATCGATGAAGTACACTGCTGAGGGAAGCAGCGGGCGGGTCAGGAGAGGTCTGGCTCGCCATGTGGTCTCCTCCGGGGCAGGCGGGAATCCAACTCATGCGGAAGTGGCTTCAGATTCTTAGGCAGGCGGGAATCGAACTCATGCGGAAGTGGCTTCAGATTCTTAGTGCTGTGCTTTAACCCGCTGTGCCACCAGGGAGGGCCCCCTTTTTGTTTTTAACCTGGTCGATTTTGTGAGCTAAATGGATTGATACTGTTTTCATAAAATTAAAGTCACTAACTAGGCATTTTAAGGAATTTAAGACTATTCAAGGATAGCTTAAGTCTTATGTAGGATGGTTCTTAACATTTAATGAACAACTTTTTTGTGTGAATAGACCACAGAGAGAAAATTAAAACGACAAGGGCAGGCTTAATTTGAGTATTTCTAACTAGGCCTGTATTGAGTATCTTTCTACATGCAAAATTCTAACAGTCATCTTCTAAAATTGTAGAATGGCTTAAAATTATAGGTAATGGACCCTTGCCATTGTGGAGTAGAAAGAAAATGTACTTTGGTATCAGAGAGAGATTTGATGCACTCCACCTCCTGTGTAGTTGTGGGAAAATTAGTCAATTGTTTGGATTTAATTTTATTGACCTTTTAGTTGAAGGAAATAAAATCTACCTGATGGGATTTTTGTCACAGTTAAATAATGTTGAGCATTTATCAAAATACCTGATATTTCAATAATTGATCATTATTATGAATACTAATTGCACATAATATAGGTCTATAGTTCCAACATGATTTTGCATTAGAAATTGAGGAGTGATAAATTAGTCTCTTGATGGTAGGATTTGATCTACAGCAAGGTGCTGCACTAGTTCCCTTGGTAATTTGAATAGTTCTTTAAGAATTCTGTTGAACAATTATAAACTGTTTGTTGGGTTGAAAAGAGTATCTGAGCATCCAGTTCCATCCTGTGTTCAGCCCTACATCTTTTCCCTCTTTTTGATGACATATGTGTTGCTCCTAATTTCTAATGTCTTATGTTCTGTGACACCATTCCCTTTCCTTCCTATAGGTATTGCTTCTTTGCTATGTATGCTTTCTTCTGCTTTACTAGTAGTTTTTTGCCATCTTCCACTTGTTTTCCATTTTCAAATATTAGTTCGGGCCTTCCCTGGTGGCGCAGCAGGTAGCCCTACTCTGTTTCTGGCGAATCCTCTCATCACCCCTGCACCTCTGGCTGTACGCCCAATGCTGTATGTATAAATAAATAAATCTTTAAAAAAAAATAGCTCATTTCTTTTCTCTATTGTCTTTTTTTCTTTTCTTGTGCATGCATCCTTTTCAGACATTGAAAGATATGCTTGACTGTAGCTAGTATCCCTTATTTAATTGTAAATTTGAGAACTTGATATCATCCTGGTTTTTATTGTCTTGTTGATTTTTTTTTAAGATTTATTTATTTATGCATACAGAACTGGGGTACAGGCTAGAGGTACAGGGGTGTGAGAGGATTCACCAGAGACAGAGTGGGGAGCAGAATAGGCAGATCGATGAAGTACACTGCTGAGGGGAGCAGTGGGCAGGTCAGGAGAGGTCTGCGGAGTCATGTGGTCACCTCTGGGGCAGGCGGAGATCAAACTCCTGCAGAAGAGGTTTTTAGCTTCTCAGTGCTGTGCTTTAACCCGCTACGCCACCAGGGAGGGCCTTGTCTTGTTGATTTTAACTAACATGTTTTAGCCAGGCCACATAACTTGAATTTTGTGTTGAATCTTGAATCTTAGTATTTTGAGTTTTAGATATTTGCAATTCCTTAAATCTTGCGCTATTTGCAAATTTCATAAGCACGGGCTTTATAAATTCTTACTTAAACCAATGACAAAATTATTCTTTTGTTTTCAAAGAAATGTATGTATATATACATTCTGATTGTTCAACGACAGATTATTTTATATCATTTGTATATTAGTTTCTAATGTATAAAGTTTAAACACTACAGAAAAATACTAAAGCAGCTAAGAATCAGATGTAATTATCATTAATGTTTTTCCTGTATTTCTTTGTAGTCATTCACATTACTTAAAATGTTTAAAAGTAGGGTTCATGTTATCTATATAAATTAAAAATATTATTTAACACATCATGTTTAGTAGGTACCAGATACTGTTCTAAGCACTTAGCAACTCAATAAGTTATATATGATTAGTTCCTACTCTTCTTTTAATATCTTATGAGTTTGTTGTCTGTCATTATTCTTTTAAAAATGTGTTTATACAGTAGTCTATAATTTGGATATTGTCATATCCCTCAACTACAAGATGGTCATTGTTTTCCTTCCTTCCTTGCCTTTCTTGGTGTGGTTTTTTGCTTTAGATGGAACAGTATATTTGGCTATTGTAGCACATAGTTATTTTAATGCATCACTGAATTTTTGACTAAGGTTCAATTATTCTAGGAGTTCAGTTATTGAATCAAAGGATATAAACTTTTTAAAAAAGATTTATTTACTTATACAGAACTGGGGTATAAGTCAGAGATTATAGGGGCAGTAAGAGGTTCCATCAGAGACAGAGTGGGAGCAGAACAGGCAGATTGACAAAGTACACTGCCATGTGGATCACCTCTGGGGCCAGGGATGGAATTTGCACTGAAGCAGCTGTGGCTAGCTTGCAGTGCTGCACCCTAAGTGGTTGTACCACCAGGGAGGGCCTAGATATAAACATTTTTAAGGCAGTTCCTGATACATGTTGCCAAATAGCCATCTGGGAAAAATTGTTTACTTTACACTCCCTGTCAAGTTGGACAGTTAATTAGTACATCTATATAATAAATTATATATGATTGAAAACTAATTTACCAGTTTTCCTATTCCATTATTATTATTTTTTTAATTTAGCAGTTTTCAAATAGTTACTGCATTCCATTGCTATGGTAGATTCTATCTGTCAAAGTTGAACCATAAGTTCTGACTTCAGGGTTTCATGTACCCTCTGAAGTTGTACTGTTAATTTGGAGTCAGTGTGCATGGAAGTAAAGGATGAGAGCACTTTCATTGGAATCCCAAATGGGTGCATGGCTCAAGGGAACTTGACACCATGGATATATCAGCATTTTAATCCTTAAATCAATTTTGGGAAATAGCATCAATATTACTGTTTTATTGTTGGGAACTGAGGAAGTTCACAGGGGTTGGTAAGTAGTAGAATCCATACTAAAACTACTTTCTTTTTAATGTTTTCACTACTATTTAATTACTAGACTGGAATGTTACTGGGGATGAATGATACACTTATTGGTATGTAATTTATCCAATCATTATTAACAGTTCTATTTTATATCTTTTCCCCCTTCCTAAATGCTGCTTCCCTCATGAAAAATATTTTATATTGGTCAAAACTAAGTTACATCCTGTTCAGAATTTATAGCTGTATTTAATCTTTTCTGTAAAAGATGTATTTTTATTTATGCATACAAGATCTGGTGTACAGACTAGAGGTGCAGGGCATGAGAGGACTCCCCAGAGACAGAATGGGGAGCAGGACAGGCAAATCCATGTAAATACACTGCTGAAGGGAAGCCAGCAGGCCAGACTGGTGATAACAGTGAGGTTTTAACCTCTTTACCACCAGGGAGACCCTGTATTTAATCTTGAGAAAGATATACTCTACTGTAATTTTAAAGTAGTGATTTATTGTGATAGATTTTTTAGGTTGTTTTCCAGTTACAGAGAATGTTGACTCAATGATTTGTATATTTAAACATACTACATTTGTTATTTTCAAAGTGGCTCCCTCCTGAGAGGTGCTATTTCAGTTGAGCAACCAAAGCTCTAGTTATTTGTGATATTTGTATTTATCTACCTAACTGCAAGAGGAATTTCATTAATATTTTCCCAACTAGGGCCCTTTTTATAGCCCATGATAATGATAAATTTTTTCCTTTTACCACATTTCTAGGTTTTACATCTGTGAAAGATCCTCTTAAGGCCTCTTTTTCAACCCTGAAATGCTCTGCTCAAAAGTTTCATTTATTTAGACTGATATTCTTAAACATACACTATTTACTCATGAATGTATGAGCAATCAGTCATGTGTTGCCTCTTGAGGGGGATGTGTTCTGAGAAATCTAGCATTAAGTGATTTTGTCATTGTGCTAATGTCAGACTGTGAATTGCACAAACCTAAATGGTGTATATATAGCATGTTATACACCTAGGCCACTTGGAATAGTCTATTGGGAACACCACTACATACGCAGTTTGTCATTGACCAAAAAGTCATTAAGCAGCTTATAACTAGTATATGGGCATACTCTTAATACGCCTATTGATTTCGATAGCCATGTAAAATCATGCTCTTCAAATTTATTAGTATTTTTTGTTTGTTTAGTTTTAGCTATCTACAGGTAAATAGGATATACTCAGTTATGGGTAAACTTCTAAGACCTGATGGTCTTTTGCAGAGGTAAGATGAGTAGCTTAGTACAGGGTTTTAAGTGGTGCAGATCTATAGATCACAAGGGAGGTGTGGAGAGAAAGCCATGACCCTTTGGAGAAGGGAGGGTGTGATACTTGAGAGATGTTAGGAGTCTTCAGAATTGAGGATTATTCAGTTCTGAATTCACTGAGGAGAACAGGTGGGATGGGGTGATTTTATGGTGGACCTCATGTAAGCAGAAACAAAAATCTATATATTGTGAGCTCAAGGTGTATGGAGACCTTATTAGTAGTTGAGTTTGGTAAGTGTGTAGGGGAAAGGGTGATACTTGGAAAAGAGGAAATTGAACTGAATAGTTCAGACTGGGAGGAATCTTTTAAAAGCTCTTTGCAGGTGAATGTCATATTATGTTTTAGAGCTCATGCATTAGACTGCTGTTATGTTAATAACAGTTACTGTGAATAATTATAACAGCAAGGAGTTCCTGATTTTGCAGAAGAGTTAACAGTGAGGTCTCCCACCTACAGTCACTGGACCTTCCTTTTGGTTCTCACTTCCCCTCTGTAGGGGTGATTGCTTGCTGTCCATTATTCACTATCATACTCCATGGAAGTCCCATTTGGGGACCTCCTAGTTCTCCTGGCATCTGCTGTAGGAATCCTTTACAGCAACCTCACATTCTTACTCTCCCTCCCTTTTCTGCTCAACCTGTTTTTCTCATGAAAATCCTAAATTCTTTGATGCTTAAAAGGGCTCGGGTAGAAGGAAAAATATGTGTGGGTGTCATTGTTGGAGACAAAGCAGTTTTCTTTTCCTATTTTGAGAGTGTATTTCCTTGTCCTTTTTTCAAGGGACTTGACAGCTTCCTACCATCTCTTTTTAGAGTTGGAGTCCTTACTGTAGGTTAAGCTACATAGTAAAAGCAGGCTGTTCTTCCTGTTGGGGAGATGTGAGCTGGTGGTAGGAGTTCTAACCCTCCTAGAAATAATTATTATAGATAGCTGTTAATCATGATTCAGCTGAAATTTAAATTTAAGAAGTTTCAATCAACATTTAAGAAATTTAATTTGTTCTTTTTTGGGGAAAACTTGGCAAGTGTTCTAAATCAGTACAGTACGGGAAAACTTAAATGTACTTGATTTTTTTTTTTTTTGGTTGTTTATTTTTTTCTAATTGTTTAATATACAAAAATATTTAATCTTTTTTGGACATCTAGAATATTTTCAGTTTTGTAGGTTGTGTTTTGTTAAGAAACCATAAGCACATTTCTGAAGAGACAGTTTTGAAAGGCTTCTAAGTTAGAGATTATCTGAACAGTATTTGGCCAGTAGTATTTTGAGTGCAATTAGGAGTGGAGATGGCTAATCTCTGGGGAACTTTTGGGCAATTTATAAACAGTGATGCCAGCCAGGTAAAGGTTTGCCTTTTAATTTTCCTAGCTATGAAGACCCTCTGGAATTCCTCAGACTCTGTGGCCTCTTGTGACTTCTATTTCCAGGACTGCTCTAGATCTTATAACTAGAAATTCTTTACTTTAGGGTCATATTTTTGAGTGTCCAATAAAAACTTTGTATTCAGCTTCTAATTTTTTAAATCATTTTACTTGGTAAGCTCTTGTATAATTTTCTTTATAAAGCATTAATCACTTAGTAAAATAATATTTGAGAATAAAGATTAAAATTCTTTTAAAAAGACAGAAAAGGAATTTGTTCTCCCTTTCATTTATCAATTCAGACTCTACTGTTATGCATAGAAATTTTAACTTTGGGAAATCTTGGTCTTTTTTCTTGAGTTTTATCACTTATTTCTAATTTTTATATTATGCAGATGATGTGATGCCAGCTACTTACTGTGAAGTTGACTTAGATAAAGAAAAGAGAGATGCATTTGTATATGCTATAAAAAATCACTACTGGTACCAGATGTACATAGATGACTTACCAATATGGGGTACGTATTCTGTTCTATTTAAAGCGTGGGAATATTACATAATAAGATTTATGTAAGGATTCTATAATGGTGATTATATGCTGAATTTCTAAATGCATTTTCATAAAATGCTTTTAATACCAATTTAGGGTCCCCTTTTATTTGAAGATTTTTTGACATGGGCAAACACATGTCACATTCTTTCCATATTCAACTTTTATACATTATAACTTCATATGCAAGGAACTGGAAAGTGTCTTGACCAGCCCAAAAGAATGCCCGCCCCCTCTCCATGTCTTCTTTTGACTTACTCTTATTAAACACAATTAAAGGCACTAAGTAGGAGTTTTGAAGCTTATTTTTGATTCTCTCTTGTGGAACTATTAGTATGGTTTTTAGATGTTGAAAGTATACTATTAGTTTTTGTAGTTCCTATGTTATTTTCCAGACTCTGTATGTTTAAGAGTTTTTGTTTTCAGTCTCTTGCTTGTCTATATTGATAGAAAAGAGATATAGCACAGTTAATACAGACTTTTGCGTATTTAAAAAAAATCATTTTGTGTGGGACGTGATTACATTATTCAAAATTCAGGGAACAGCCATACAGCTACCATAGCCAATATATAATCATACTTTTCTTAGTCTTTTTTTTTTTTAAGGGGGGGGGTCTTTTGATGACTGTTCTTATTTATAATTAAGATTCTAATTCTTAAAATTATTAGCAGACTACTACTCGCAAGCAGCAAAATGAAAAAGACTGCATATCTGATCAGTTTAATGTGGTACTCATGAAATTTATAAGTAAAACAATTTCAAGATATAATTGTATGCAAATCATCATTACCATTTTGGATGTTGGTTATATATAAATAGTAAACATTTTATGTAAGGGCCTGAGTTAGTACTATATCAACACAGATGTTTCTACCATCAGCTCTGAGAATAGTAGGGCGTGCTGAATATTCACTAAATTTATGATCCTGAGGTTAATATTCACTAATTTATGATCCTGAGGTTCAGGAGAACCCACTGGTTTTCCTCTTTTTTTTTTTTAATGAGAGAACAGGTTTCTCCCTTATTATTTTTCATTGCTTTTGGGTTTCATGTCTGAACCATGTTTTATTTTGTTTTTTTTTCGCTGTGGGCTTCCTCAGTAACATGGCAGCTGTGCTTGCCTATTTCAATAGAAAGTTTTTGAACCCTGGGATTCCAGAGTCTGGTGTATTTAGGGGAGATACTTTGGAGTATCTCTTTTGGGTATCTTGAATTATAAAGAAATAGCAATTAAGTTTTCATACCCATGTGTACATATGTGGAGGTGGTAGAAATGGTTGATCATAGGTTACTAGAGAAAGTGCAGAACTGAGCCTCTGGAGACCCTGATTTTAATTTTAGTTTGATCACTACAAACTAGGTGACTGCCACATGGTGATACATCACTTCTCTGAAATTTTGAGCTATTAAGGAAAATACACATGGTGAAAATTATTACAAGGAAGGTGATGCTAATGACAGTGCATGAACTATTGAGTGTCACATTTTTGGTAGGTTATGCTGAGCTTTTTCACCACTTCCTAACCAAAGTTTTTGTTTGCCAGGTAGTTAACAAAGGGTAGCAATGCAGTCTATATATTTGCCTTGTTCTAACCATAAGGAATAATAGTGCTTTTTTTTTTTTTAAAGATTTATTCATTTATGCATACAGAACTGGGGTACAGGTCAGAGGTGCAGAGCAGTGAGAGGATTCACCAGAGACAGTGGGGAGCAGAACAGGCAGAATTCACGAAGTATACAGAAGCAGTGGGCGGGTCAGGAGAGTGCCAAAGTGCCACATGGGTCAAATTCGTGTTGACGTGTCTATGGCTAGCTTCATAGTACTGTGCTTTAACTCATTGCGCCACCAGGGAGGGCCCAATAGTGCTTTTTTAGAAACTTTTTATGAGCTTTTAGCTTCTAAAGTATTTGAAAATTAAATGATATTACCTTATGTAGTGTTTTTTCTTTTGTAGGTATTGTTGGTGAAGCAGATGAAAATGGAGAAGATTACTATCTGTGGACCTACAAAAAACTTGAAATAGGTTTTAATGGAAATCGAATTGTTGATGTTAATCTAACTAGTGAAGGGAAAGTGAAACTGGTTCCTAATACTAAAATCCAGATGTCATATTCAGTAAGTACTAAAATACTAATACATAGGAAGCATTGTTAGTCACCTAATAGCAACAGTTAAGTGTGATTTAGAACTTTTTAATAGATGAATATGTAGTTTGAAGTGGGATGCAACAGAATATTATTAAAACTGCAATTCCTCAGTGTATGTAAATGAACCTCCTGAAAACAGGGAGATTTGTTTCAGTTCTCTGGTAATAGGCACACATGTACTTGCAGGAGCTACCATTTGCTGCAGCAGTTTACCACTACAAGTAGGTAGTTAACCAAAACCTGTATTTCATAGTTATATTTTTAGATCACAGTATTCTTGATGAATGGGCACATTGATCATGTTGGAATATGTAAATTAGCAATAAATAGTACTTGAGAACTGAAATGTTTCCTCTCAGTAGAGCTGTAAGTTTTACAAATACAGAGAAAAGTTGGTTAACTGTTTATCATACAAGTTTCAGCTTCTCAGATAGCAGCGGCTTCCACTGTTTTGCTTCTTCCGCATTTGTAAATCTTAATATATACTGTTCAGTTTTATTGTAGATTATTAATTTGCTTACTCATCTTGATTTTCAAATGAAAAAATTTTTCTTTAGGTAAAGTGGAAAAAGTCAGATGTGAAATTTGAAGATCGATTTGACAAATATCTTGATCCATCCTTTTTTCAACACAGGGTAGGTAAATTGTGTATTTTAATCATTCAGCGTGTCTTCAACAAGCATTAATGACTACCTGCCATATGTAGGGCGCTGTGCTAGAGCTGTGTAGCTCAAAGATTTAATTAATGGAGATTTTGGATGTGAACACATAGGGTGGCAAAGAGTTTTAAAGGAGCAGTCAAAAACTTCCTTCATTATGCCTTTGATTTAAACTGAGTAAGAATACAGTTGGAAGCAAACAACATACAGGAAGCCAAAATAGTATTTTTTTACTAAAGAGGCTAATGTTGGAGATAGTGACTTATGTCTGTGATCATGTGGGTTTAATGTAGAATTAAACATACTTGAAGTAGTCAGTGTTGGAATATTACAAGTTTTCTTTTTGGTTAATACTTAAAAAATCTTTTATTTTAACAAAAATTCAGACAAAAATTATAAAAATACTAGTCCCTTATTCAAGGAATTTCTGAATTCCCTTCACTCACATTTCCTAAACATTGACATTTATGACATTTGCTTTATCCTTCCTAAGCTTTCTCATTTAAGAGTAACTGCTGACATGGTGTCCTTTCCCCTAAGAACTTAAGGTATATTCCTACTTAGAATCATTTTCTTATGGAAATAGTTCACAATGATCAAAACCAGGAAATTAACATTGATAATACTATTAAAAATCTGTAGATCTTACTCACATTTACCAATTGCCCCATAGTATTCTGTATAGCTAAAAGAAAAACATATTACTTTTGGTCATTTCTCTTTATTCTTCTTTTATCTGGAATAGTCTTTGTATTTCATGATATTCATATTCTTTTTAATTTTTGTATTTTAAATATCTTTTGTTTTTTTTCAGTGAGGTGACATTAGTGTACATCGTTTGTATTTTAAAAGTATAGAATTTCTCAGCCACTCCCCATCCCCCCTCCACACACACACACACACACACACACACACACACACACTTCTGGTAGCTTCAGTTTTATAATCAGGATTAGTAGTTTGGGGTTAGTTATTAGTTTGGCTTTATCTTACCCTTTGATTGGTTTCTCTCATTTTACATATAAGTGACACCATCTAGTTCTAAATATGGTGGCCAGGTAAATCTCTGATATAGGCTTTTGAGCAAAATCTTGAAGAAATTTGGAAATAAGAGATGTGGATATCTGGGGCAAAGATTATTCCTGGCAGAGGCAATACCACTGCAAAGCCTTTAGGTGGGAACATGTGTGATGTGTTTGAGGAATAGTGAGGAGGAGGATGACACTGGAGCAGAGTGGGAGAGTGAGAAGTGGGAGATGAAGTCAGAGGTAACAGGAACTAGACCAAACTATCAGGACTTTGAATGCAGGGAAGGGAATGATAGTGTTTTCAGCAGGGAAATGACAGCTTTACTTTATTTAAAAGGGATTGCTAAGGTTATATATATATTTTTAAAGATTTATTTATGTATACAAGAACTGGGGTATAGGCTAGTGGTACATGGGTGACAGTATTCAGAGACAGAGTGGGGAGCCGAACAGGCAGATTGACTGAAATACACTGCTAAGAGGAGCAGCAGGCAGGTCAGGAGAGGTCTGCCATGCCATGTGGGTCAACTTCCTAGCTGGGGATCTAACTCATGCTGCAGTGACTGCAGAGAGCCTCATACTGCTGCACTTTAACCTGTTCCGCCACCAAGGAGGGCCCTGCTAAGATTATTCTATTGAGAATAGATTGTGTGGGGAGAAAGGGGAGAAGTATGAAGACCAAAGAAGAGCTATTAGAGGAGTTTAGATGAGAAGGAAATTGGGACATAAGCCAAGCCAGGGTATAGCAGTGTAAATGTGAGAGGATGTTAGAGCCAGGGGGGGGTTTCCTGATGGATAGGAAGATAAAGGTTGAGATCAAGTCTGTGTAGAATTCTGTTGGAGTAAAGCTTCCATCACTGGGGTAGAAAAAGGCTGTATTTAGAGACTTAGAAAGAGCAGAGATAATAAAGAAAACATGTTTATATATTGATGGAGGTCAGTAGTGCGGAGCTGATGATATAGGAGAAAGGGAGAAAATTATTGCAGCATTTTCCTTAAGTAGGCAGGAGGGGATGGGATTGTGTTAAGTAGTAGGAATTGTTTTTTACGCAGTGACTATACAGGGTTACGTGCTCAAGCTGAATACAAACTCTGCCACTTACTATAAATATAACCTTGGTCAAATTACTAATTTTTAGCTTGTTTATACCTAATAATGGAGCAGGTATTATACCTTATTATTACATTTGTAAATAAAAATAAAGCACCTACTTAGTATTTGGCCCATAACAGATAATCATAAGAGACAGCACTTGGTAGTATACTTACTGCCTATATTCTAAAATTTATAACTGGATATGTTGCTTAGAATTAGCAACACTAGGGGGTGCTAGAGTCAGCAGGTGCAGCGTTAGTGATGCCTTAGTGACATCTGATTCTTTTAAGAAATACTTCCTTGGCTATAATTTTGAATCATAACATTTCATACTTTTGGGGGGAAAAGTCTTATAAAATGTCAGGTTTTAGTGCTATTTTAAAATAGGTTTTGGGTTTGAATTTAATACCTTAGATTGTGTATATTTTAGATTAGAAAATATCAAAGAGTGTTGTTAGAAACTTTATCATATTAGGTGTGTCTTTCTTATTACTAAACATAGCTACATAAAACATTCTGATAACTGCATAAAGCTTACTCTAAGAATTTGATATATTGAAACAGATGAATCACATATGATTTTTCCTTTCTGGGTCTTTTCTAGGTTATTAATTTCTCAGAGTGGGAACAAAATTAAATCTTTGGAAAAGCCTCTAGACTACTCTCTTAAAACTTGAATGATACTTTTATGATAAATTTGTAAACTTTCTTTCCAAATATTTCAAAATATAGTACATTCATTGTTAACTTTGTAATCTCAGTAGCTATTTAATAAATTGTTGATGGAAGGAGAAATGATCTTATGAAGCAGAGACTGTTGACTGTCTCCTGCTTTTCAGGAGTGTTTATCACTTGCTTGAAATCTCAGGATAGGTAATAGATCTGGGACTGAGCTTTACTCAAATGAGTGAACATATCAGCCCAAGTTAAACTCTGCCCTAATTGTATAAGACAGTACATCTTTGATGTTAGCTGTTCTAGTATGTACCTATAGAAGTTTAGAGCAGAAGTGTAGTTACAAATAACTAAAATATGGAGATGAGAAGTTTTGGGGAGGAAGGGCTTTTGTGTTGACCTTTAGAGAGAAGGCAAAATTTACAGAGGTGGATAGAAGTGGATTCTATGTTAGAAGGAATTATGAACAGGTCATAAAGATAGAAGTAAGTATGCTGTGCTCAGGCATCACTGAGGAAAGCGCTGCTTGATTAGCACAGAGATGGCTGTGGAAGATATAGTGACTTACGATGAAGTGACTATATCACATGGATCACAGAATATTATAGCTGATATAAGAGAATATAGTGGAGTACGCTGTACGTTTTAGAATAGAAGTATGAAAACTAGCATGCTGTTTTAGAAAGATTTCCTGGGTAACTATATAGGATCATTTGAAAGAAGGAGAGCGATCAAAATTTTTTAAAATAAGTGCTGTCAGTGTGTGAGTTGATGATGGCATGGGAATGGAGAAAAGGAGTGGACAGAGACATTTTGAAAGAAAATAAAAGCTTAATAATTCTTACCTAGGAAGGATTAAGAAGAAAGAGCCAGACATACTAAAATTTCAGAGGTACATGTTAGTACCATTAGCAGAAGTTAGAAATTAGAAGTAAGTGTTAATATGTGAGACTAAAGAGCATGAGTTTATTTGATGGCAGTCTAAGTCTGAAATTCCAGAAGGACATTCAAGTGGAAATGATTGTAGTTAGTAAAAGTCTGAAATGTGAATGAGAAAGAAGGCTGGAGACTTGGGGTGGAGTGAGGATAGGAAGCAGAGGGTGTTCCCATCATCATTGGAATGCTAGTTAAAAGTTTGAGAGTCTGAAGAATTCACAGCAGAGTTTCCAAGGTTGGGCTTTTTGGAAAAGTTCACAAAGGGTAGGAGGAGCAGCGTCAGTAAAGTAGGGTGGTACAGTGTTAGCAAAGGTCAGATGTGACGGGTAGAGCTAGGAAATGGGGCAGATCATTGACTGCTGAATATAGAGGTTCACTGCAGGCCTTTGAAAGAAATCTTTTGGGACAAAGTGAGTGAGGGAAGAAAAACATGCAGTCTCTCCATTTGAAAAGTATCAGCATTGAAAGGAGAAAGGTATGAAAAAAATTGAGAGTTAGGGGGGCAAAGATTTAAGCAAACACTTCAAAGATGGTAGTAATGATGATAACTTAAAAATTTAGTTTACTATATGCCAGATATTGTGCTATATGCTTCACATTTATTGTGAAGGAGTAGGCACCATTTAGGTAGGAATCTTTGGAGATTGTTTACACTGGAGAAATGTGAAAGTTTAGGGGTGCAAGCTAAAAGGGACAAAATGCCTCAAGGTGTAAATGAGAGCTAAAACTTAATGGAAAGATTGATTTAAGAGGAAAAATAACTTCTAGGAGTTTGAAAAGAGAAACGAAAGGTTTGGGCAATATAAATGCAGAAAAATAAATGGAATTAGGACTTGAGAGAAGAGAAATTTTGGCACTGTCTTTAAGACACTTTGGGAAATTAAAATAGAAAGGACCATCAGACAGTACTGCAGGCCTCGTTCAAGTCAGACTGGAATCTGAGATACACTGAGAGATGCAGTTGTACCTTGTGATTTGAACCAAAACCTGGACAGAATTTTGTGACAAATGTGTAGGTAAAAATCAAACTCAAGAATCTTGAGAAAGTTGAGAAACTGTGGGTTACCTCATTGTTCTCTGTATCCTGGTGGGCTAATTTGGAAAGGAGGGATAAAAATAATACTGGATGGAGAGGATGAACCAGAAAGAAGTGAAGCAGATTATTCAGGAAGCTACCCAAGTCCATGGCAGCCAACTATGATGGTTTAGTCTTGGTATTTTAAGGAGATTTTTAGTTTGTTGCTCAGATAAAGGGTAGGAAATTCATATTTACTGAGTATCGACTGCTCTGTGCCAGGCATGGTGCTAAACTTTTTACATACAGAATTAAACCTTGCCATCACTATAAGAGAGTATTAACTTCCACTTTTGATATAAGAAAACTGAGGTCACACAGCTAGAACTGACAGCCTGCGTTAAAACATACGCCTACTTGACTTCATGTTTTTTCTCTAATGATGATGGCGTAAGCATATGGTAAAGTTTATGGAAATGTATGTGAACAGTGTTGCATTTTAATGAATCTGAGGCTTTCTGTAAAGAAAGCCAGTACCTTTACAAAGTGAATACTCATCCTTAGTATTTTTGAAGTTTAGATTTTTACATAAAAGATTTTAAAAATAACTTTTTTTAGTACATTAGTACACCTTGTTGTCATGAAGCTTGTGAATGATTTTGTGCTATTTCATGTTGATAATGTTTTCTATTATTTTAGATTCATTGGTTTTCAATCTTCAACTCCTTCATGATGGTAATATTCTTGGTGGGCTTAGTTTCAATGATTTTAATGAGAACTTTAAGAAAGGATTATGCCCGATACAGTAAAGAAGAAGAAATGGATGACATGGTGAGCAGACATTTTGCTTGTATTTATAAAACCATTTAATTCAGTGTTATTTTATTACTAGAATGTATGTCCACAATTTCTTTTTTTAAAATCCTTGAGATCAGATAAGTTTCAGAATTCATAATTTTCAGGTTTTAGAGGGGTGTAAAACCTCACAGAGGGGTCTCTACTATTAAAGTGTTTTCAGCAAAATATGTGAATGTTCACCCGAAGTGCGTAACAAACATTATAAATAATTCTTGGATAGTTCAAGTTTTGCTATCAATAAGGATATGTTAAGCTTAAGGAACAACTTTCAGTTTTCAGAGCTGTTGATTTCAGTATTGTAAGACCTGTATTGGTATCTCCTAATACTGTTAACATATTGCATAAAATTGAGAGAGTGGGTGGAAGGATTAACTTACATTTAGTTTTATAGGTGCAATGGGAAGATTTGCTTTTTGTATTTTATAGAACAATGTTATAAAGAGCAAAAATGTGTTCTATAGAATGGTAATAACTATGTGTAGATAGATTCCATCATTAATAGATTTTGGAAGACAGTTAAATTTTAATATTATAGTTTGTATTGTGAGTATCAGGCTGGATAAGATATGTTTGGTGCTTGTCAAACATATTTGACCAAGATTTCCTTCCACTCCCCATTAGATTATCTTAAGGGACTGGTATTTCTTTCTTTCCTTTTTTTCTTAATATTAAATTTATTTTCTTATATTGTTCATTTTGGTACAATATTTGATATTTCCCCTAGAGAATAGTATTTCTTAAACACTGCTTTAAATATTTAACTGTCCGATATTTTCCCATTCTTTTTTAGATTCCAAGCTATAAAGGACATATCTGCAATGTTAGAAATCTGTCTGTTTTGCTTTCTACCTTGCCTCAAGTCATACATGAGCCATAATCATGATGTAAATGACAAAAAAGTATCATTAAGAGAGTTTTATGTGCCATTCTCCAAACTTGACATTTCTTTTTGTGCTTAGATTTTTTTTCTGTTTATATTTTTTAAGATTCCCTGTGCATAGCCAAGACCCACTCTACTGAGCCTCATAAATTTCACAATACTGTAACTAAGTTACTAAGGCAGTGATTTTAAATTTGACATGTCATTTCTCAATATTTTGAATCCCTTTAAACAACTCAAGTTTGGAGTGAAGGAACTTACAACTGTAATTGTAATTTTCTCTCTGCATATATATGTATATAGGATAGAGACCTAGGAGATGAGTATGGATGGAAGCAGGTGCATGGAGATGTATTCAGACCATCAAGTCACCCACTGATATTTTCCTCTCTCATTGGTTCTGGATGTCAGATATTTGCTGTGTCTCTCATTGTTATTATTGTTGCAATGATAGAAGACTTATATACAGAGTAAGTGCTTGTGTTTAAATTAACTTTATTGCATTTTTGTTGTCCTTGGATCAACTTACAGCTATTGGGGCTTTTAAAATCAATTATAATTAAATATTTGTATATTACAGTTATCTTAGAATTTAAATAGCATAAGTGTTAAACTGCAGACAAATAATGAGCATCAATCAGTAGCTATAGAGTGTATTTTTTTATTAAATGCTAAACTTAGTAGCCTTACTGAATATTTTGGTGGGGTTTAAAGATTATGTTCCCCTAGAATATGAATAGAGGTAATTTTCAATAAAGATATATTTGACAAAGTGAACAGGCATTTATTTCATATTAAAAAGATTGGTAGAAAAGGTGCGTGAGGTTAGAAAAATAATTGAATGTCTTCTTATTCTATCTTTACATAATTTCTGTTACATGATTTTTTTTTCTCTGTGGACAAAATCATTTGCAATAAATTCTTGATTTGAAGTTTTAGGGTTATAAAAAAAGTTGTAAATTCCCAGAGATCTCAAGTCATATTGAGTGGTCCTGTGACCTTGTTCTTAGAGAGCTATGGGTTAACTGAGCAAATGTATTCTCAGTGCATAGCAGAGCTTAAAATTCAGGTGCTGCCCCATGAATTCTCGGCCAGGACGATACTTTTCTCCACCTATATTTCTTATTTGTATTTCAGTTCCTAATGTGTTCATTTTTATATATGCCTGGCATTTGGTGGACAAGCAGTAAATTGTTGCTGAAAGAATGACTCTTAATTGCATGTTAAATTTTTAACTCTGCTGTATTGCTGTCTCTTCCACTAGGCAGTAAGTTCCTCGAGAGCAGGGAATGGGTATTAACCTATTGTTGAATTCTCAGAGTACCTGCTTACAGAGTTTTTGCTGTGGAAGTTACTCAATCAGTGCTTGTTGAAGTGAAGTGAATATGTATTAATCAATGAAGTCATTTCTCTCTAAGTTTATTTTATTAAATATACCTTTGTGGTTTATCATGTGAACTTTAAAATAATTGACTAAAAGCTAAGCTTCAGTGTTCTGATTAATAATTCATGTAATAGGGTAAATTTTATTTCAGGTGATTGAGATCTCAAACGCAAAAGAGCACTCCAAATTTGTCACAAAATCATGCTTTATATTAAATTCTACATCAGAATTCATCACTACCATATATACAATTTGACTGTAGAGTTATTCTTATGAGCTGCTAATGAATAATCTTTCCTAAACCAAATTTTTGCTTTGTATAGTGCTACAATTTTGGCATTTCATTTTTAGTGCAGTAGCTCTTTTAATAGATCTTCAATGTTGAGCAAAAAGGAACTGCTTCTAATAGTATTTGAGACAACAGTGTATTGTTACTTTAGTCTGTCATTATGATGGTGGTAGTGATTCTATGTTGTCCTTATTTGATGTGAACATAATTATGTGATTAGTACTAAAGCAGTGAGTGTTGTTATAGTATCAAAGTGACTAATGTATTTGAGATACTGTGTTAGGTGCTTTATGCTTTTAGCCCTTTAATATTCACATCAACCCTGTGAAGGGACTGTTATTATCTCCTTTCTACATATGAGACAAGTAAAACTCAGAGCAGTTAAGAAATTGGACTGAGACCATATAGTTATTAGTAAAGAGATGTTAGTAAACTGGGGTTAAGCTCTCATTCCATAACCTTTTTTTTAGGTTGCAGTAACATTGGTTAGTAACCTTATAGAGTATTTAGAAGTATATAGGATCACGTCCTTCAGTGTTATTACACCACACACCCCCACCAAGATACCTATACTTTTAATTTGCTATTCTTTGGAAATGAAAAATAGAGATAATAGTTCAGATTGGTGAGAAAAATTTAAAACGTGCATAAAATTGGGGAAATTACTGCAGGAGGAAGATTCTAAGAAGAAAGAGCAGGTAATGTAACATAAGAAATTAGATGTTGGATGCCTGTGTGAATTCGTTTGCGGACTTTTGTGAAGGCAAAGAGTTACGGTGTGGCAGGTCTGCTGAAACGCTGCTGCTGCTGCCATTGCAGTGGAGAGTGATGAGGGAGCAAGTAGAGGTGAGAAGGTTCCTCCCCACCTTGGGAAGATAAACAAAGAAGATAGTTACCTAACTCAGCAGATTTTTCAGTGTAGGTGGAAATGATCTGTTCTGAGGAGAAACACTCTTTAGCATATTTATGAAGAGGTGGGCGTGTGTCTGAGTTTTATTACAGAGGCTCTGTTGTACTCCATTAAGTGGAAATGTCTGTGGGAACTGCCAACTTAGGTCCTTGGTAGCCACAGGCACAGCCTTGGCACCTCTCTGCCCTCTCTGTGCGACTGATAATGAGGACTCTGCCTGGTGTGAAACCGGTCTCAGACTAAAGCATTCTCATTTTTCAGTATTGCCACATAGACACACAGTTACAAATAGAAAATGGGTCAAATTTATTATTGATCTTCTATAAGGAATAAATTAATACCAATGTTTAATTGAGTACTTGGGGAAAAAAAGGTAAGATGTGGTTCCTAAGACTGATAATTTTGAAACCCATGATCTTTTAAACTTGGGAATGACATATTACTACCATATTAGAAATAAATGTGCAGTATTTTAACTACTATGAATCCACTTTAAGAAATTGAGCAGAGGCATTTGGACAGAAGAGTGCAACATATTCCAAGTATTCCAAGATGGTATATGCTTGTATTCTACATAGGGCTATTTAAAAAATCAAATAATTATTACTCAGAAGATGCTTAATTTATGAATATGTAAATTCTCCCAGTACGTACATTAATTAGTATGTTCTTAAAAATTCTCTGTAAAAGAATATGCTTTTGTTCCAACCATGACAAGGTTTATGTTCTATCTATAGACTTTATTTTGTCTTCTTAATTCTGATGAGTTTTAAAAAGGGTTTTATTGTTAGTGGTTTAAGTGCATTTCTGTATTGTGGCAAATGATACTGTAATTTACCATCTTAATATTTCTCTTTTAAGTTAGAAATTCCAAAAGTATTTTGTCTAGTTTTATTCAACAGGAGGGTTCATCTAAATTATCTAGATAGCATTACTAAAAGAAGATGGTAGAAATTATTTATGGTTTTTGTTTTTATTTTTTTTGTGTGTGTGTGTGTAGAAGAACTGGAGTGTAGGACAGAGTTATGGGAGGTCAGAGGATTCACCAGAGACAGACTGGGGAGCAGAACAGGCAGATCTTTTGAAATACACTGCTGAGGGGAGCAGCAGGTGAGACAGGAGAGTTCTGCTCTTCTTTATGTGGATTAGCTCCCTGGCCAGGGATTGAACTCATCTCATAGTGGTGATAGTTTTGAGACTTAATCTCTAGGCCACCAAAGAGGTCTGGAGGGCAGAAATTATTGATCTTAATATATGTCATTTGTGGACCTTTGGAATTTTTAAAAATAATTTTTACACTTGATCTTAGCCAAAGGCTGAGAAGTAATAAAATAATTTTTAAAAGTATAAGGGAAACTAAAGAGGAAAAGCCTTAATAGATGATACTGCTTTCCCTTGGCAGGGAAGAATCTTAAGCAATTGAGTTAAGTTATAAAAAGCAGTTCCATTTATTTTCTTAACAAATGAATATCCTTTTCCATATGATATGATTGTTTCACATGGTTGCAAACAATTTTTTAAAAAGATTTATTTATTTGTACATACAGAACTGGGGTATAGGCCAGAGAAGTGGTGGGTGAGAAGATTCACCAGAGACAGAGTGGGGAGCAGAACAGGCAGATTGATGAAGTACACTGCTGAGGGGAGCAGCGGGCAGGTCAGGAGAGGTCTGCCATGCCATGTGGGCCAGCTTCCTGACAGGGGATTGAACTTGTGCTGCAGTGGCTTTGGAGAGCTTCATAATGTGCTTTAACCCACTGTGCCATCAGGGAGAGCCCAATTGCAAACAATTTTAATGCCAGCTTCTAATATTTTTGGTAAAGAAATATGGAATATTTGTTTAGAATATAATATTACAAAATTTAACTGCCGGTTTAAAAAAATTAAAATCAGTATGGAATCACCTAAGCGCTGTTTTAACTATCAATTCATTTACTGGGTAAACTTTTGAGGTCCAGGATATGATATTTTTCCTGTTAAATTATCTTTGAATGCTAATGCTAATGAAATTGACTATATGGTGATTTCTTCAAATTGTTGGTTTTATTTTGTCATGTTATTCTGCCTGTTTAGGAGGGGATCAATGCTCAGTACAGCCATATTTGTCTATGCTGCTACATCTCCAGTGAATGGTTATTTTGGAGGAAGTCTGTATGCTAGACAAGGAGGTAACTTATGAGTTTTTACACTGTATTTTTAATTATAGGTGCTAATGTTTTTATATATATATATACATATATATATATATAAAATAGTTTATTTTTACATCATTTTGTACTTTTTTTTTTTTTTTTCATCTCAATTGTAATACCCGTGGGTTTCCCACGGGTATTACTAATGTTTTACTGGGAAATTAAAATGTACAAGTGCAGTCATTTTAAAAATGTGGTTATTTTATATTACATCATTTCTACTAAATCATTTGTATGTCCTATTTTGCTTACATGGATTCCTTACATTTTATTTCCTAAAATATGAATAGTTAATAATCTCACTGTAAAGTTCATCCTAGGAATTTGTGGGGGAGTATATTTAAGTTATTGGTATAGTTTTCTTTAAGTTCCCAGCTCCCTAGATACGTTCCATGTACACAGTACAACTTTCTAGTTGAATATAAAGACATGTCTCATGGCTTATGGATAAAATGGACAGTAGGGGGAAGGTTTATTTCAGTTGTCTTTTAAATATTAAAGGATTTTGTACAAAGCTTTGTGTTCGGTATTCAGAATCTCTTGCTAAGAGGGTTTCACCTTAAATACACCCTTGCTTATTGTTTAATGTTGTGCTGTGGAAGTGGTAGGAGACACATGGATGATACGAGGGTACTGCTCTTTATTGAAACAGCCAGAGGTCTTCACGTTCATTTGATTTCCCTGTAATTGTCTGAGGTCAGAAAAATGCTAAAGGTGGATTTGTGTATTTTGGTTTACGAATGACATAATTGAAAGACCTTAAAATTTCATTCCTAGGGATAGTGACCTCTGAGATTGATTTTCTTTGTCTATCCTAAGCAGTGTCTGTATTTGAGGATCCTATTTGCTTTCTGTAGAATACAGAAACTTAAAGGTTATAAGTATTAAGAACAGATAATTTTAAATTCCCCCAGGATAGTCTGGTTTACCATTGCTTCTTTTATTGGTTCCGCTAGAGTTAATGTGGTTTGCAACTTCAGGATAGATAATTCTTTGGATTGCCTGAGGGAGTATCATTATGGGTTCCTAATACTTTATAAGTGTTTAGTCCTCTATATTCTACCTTCATATTTGAGAACAGTCTTTTTATACTAGGCTATCCTAAGGAAGTTAGGTTGCTTAAGGTAACTTTTCCTTTGAATTTGATGTGAAAACTAGTTAGGCTAAAAAGTTTATAGTTTTACAACCTTTATTTAATTTCTTTTTAAATTTATGCATATTAGAACTGGGTTGTAGGCTGGAGGTGCTAGGGGATGGGGGAGCAGGGGTGGTAAGAGGGTTGATTCACCAGAGACAGAGTGGGGAGCAGAACAGGCAGGCTGACTGAAATACACTACTGAGGAGAGCCGCAGGTGAGACAGGAGAGGTCTGCTGTGTCATGTGGGTCAGCTCCCTGGCTGGGGATCGAACTTATGCTGCAAATGACTGGCAGTAACTTGACAGTGCTGACACTTTAACCCCTGCACCACTAGGAAGGCCCAGTTTATGACCTCTAAAAGTGTCTCTACTGCAAAAACAGATTTATTTAAAAACAGGAAATTATTCATTCTTGGATGTAGATTCGCTTTTAGTCTGATTGCAATTTAAAAATACCTGACAAACTTTATTATGGTTATTAATGACAAAATAAAGCTGAAAGAATCTAGGTTTACGTCTAGGAGTATCATAGCTTATTTTTCACTTACATAAGATTTGTACTACAGTCAAACCACAGTCATCACACTGTATTCACTGAACTGAAAAGTTCTTCAGACCCATTTGAGGCCAGGGTAGCCTAGGACTTAACCAGAATCCCCAGAGTGTGGGGAGCAGTAGGAAGAACAACAGTGTGGTCCCTAAGCTCCAGGTAGTACCCAGTGGCTTGTGAGTGGGATTTCTTTTTGATTGTTGAAGGCAAAGAGAGACATAGAGTTGGGAATGGAGTTTCTTAATGTATTGTTGCATGTCTGAATCTAAGACAATAATAGGAAGTGCAAGAAAGGGGAATGTTAGGAAAGAGTTGGAATCAAATAGGAGAAATAATGCTTTAATTAGTTGGCACTCTTTGTGGTGGAAGAGAGCAATTCTTAAAAATTGAGAAAAAGAAAGGCAGTTCAGAATTGAGTATCAGGATTTGGGGTAGTAATGCTGACAAACCAGAGGTTTTAGAAAGCACTTGTTTAGAAAAAAAAAGGGTGTTGCTTATCTTAAAACACTCTCCATTTGGGTTCCTCTTGCTTATGGTAATGGGGCTGAATTTTACAATAGTTGTGATCCATCCAGCATTAAAACTTTATATTCTGGTCCTGGCAGTATAAAGATGCTTTACTGTTCTCTCAGTGATAGTAAACATGATTTAAAACTTTCAGTATACAATTAAAAAAAATCCCTTCCCTTGATTTAAATAATGTATGCTTTATAGAATTTTTTATAGTATAGAGAGGTACAAAGAAATAATAAAACATACAAATCTATAGAATTGCTGACGGTATGTGAAACACATTCTACTGTTTTTACCCTTTTAAACAAATAAAATTTAAATACATATTTATAGTTATAAGTATAGAACTAAGAGTAAATTTAGTAGTTCAAGGGTCAGGATTTAAAAAAAAATTTGAGGCAGTAGAACCTATTCAGATAAAAGCTTACATGGAATTACAATGTCTAAAACTGTTTAAATGATACTGTTCTAATAGAAGCAGAACTTTGTTTCACTTTTTACTTCCTGGGTACCTCTAAGAAGCTGTAGAATTCCAAATAGTAGTTTGAAAACACCTATGTAGGTCAACGTGTAAAAATTGAGTAGCTTCCCAAAGTTTACAGCAGCTCAGTGGCAGGATTAGGACAAAACAAGAGATTATTTTACAACAGTTCATTGCTCTTTTCTAGTTTACCCACTTCAAAAGCTATGTATCTATTGAGACACTTGAATAGCTGTACTGGTCTTTGTTAGCTTTTGTTTGAAGTAGTTGTTAGAAAATGTTAAGTTTAGGAATGTTCAATTAAAAATTTAAATAATTTTGCATGGAATGTCACCCTTTTTAGACATTACTATATTCCTGTCTCTCTAGTTTCCATAGTTTCTCTTCTCTTTCAGGAAGGAGATGGATAAAGCAGATGTTTATTGGGGCATTTCTTATCCCAGCTATGGTGTGTGGCACTGCTTTCTTCATCAACTTTATAGCCATCTATTACCATGCTTCTAGAGCCATTCCTTTTGGAACAATGGTAAGTTGCTTGAATCTTACTTTTAAACTGAAAAGCTGTAAACATTGTGAGGCCTATTATCGCTCCAAAAATAGCTGGATTTTGATATTTGCACCTCTTATTAAGAGTTTTGATAGTTGCAGCCAGTCCCTGCCCACTTCTGGAAAATTGGGTAAAGGAAAATTTTTGTGAGTTTTCATATAATTTTGGTTAAGTTTAAACCTATGGTTGCCCTTTTTTTCTTTATTCTATGAGCTAATAAAGTGAAAGGCTGCCAGAAGAGAACACTACAGCTTTTGAGCAAAGATGGGAAAAAGTGGTAGATACAGTTTAGAGACAGAGTAATGACACATCAAGAAACATGAGTGTTTTAAGGTGATCAGTAAGTGTGGTGAAAGAAAGTGAGGCGTCTCCATAATGCTTTTTTCATCAACAATGTATTTTTTAAGAGTCTCATTAAGCATTAATATCTATGATAGCAATAATATCTGCTACTATAGATATTAAAATCCTTTCTGTCATCTTATTTGAACCATAGAACATTTTGGACTATTCAAATTACTAAAACTGAAATATAGATACACTTGTGCTTTACTTTTTACTAGGAGCAGAATTTTAGACTGGTTGCAGTCTGGAGTGGACGTTTATCTGACTATAGACTGTGTGTGTGCACATGCACATGGCAGCGTGGTTCCTGCTTCTCAGAAGGCTAAATTAGTTGGTTACGGTTGCATACTTAGTGGTAGAATTGCAGCTAGGACCCCGACCCCTACCCCTTCCTCGGTTTTAATCTTGTTTGGTTCCATTAAATGGGAGTTACTGAAATGTTGCACAGGAATTCCAGGTACTTTGGTTGTTTTACAGTCTACATTTGCTAATGACACATTAGAAATGTATTTTTGTTAAGTCTTTAATACTTTTTAATTACAAACAGTTTTGAAAATTGCTTCAAAATTGAAAGTTTTTTTTTTTATGTAGAGTAAGTCATTGTGGCTTACAAAGGGTAAAATAATTATTCGTAACTAGAAAAGAATTGGTTTCATAATCATTCAGTCAATCAGAAAGTCCATGTAGGAGTCATGTTATTTTTTAAAGGTAATTTGATAAATAGATTTTTTTCATAGTACTTTAAAAATAGGGCTCTGATATATTTTCCTCACAAAGTTTTGAATTTAATGTGGTGAAAATTCTATTTCAAAATTGCTTCATTTCAGTAAAGTTAAAAATTTTGCCATTTTGTAAATAGGGTTTTAAATATTAAGATTCTGTGTCATTTGATATAGCTAATTTGATACTTAACTAATTATTAGAATACAGTATGCTGTATGCTGATTCAGAGAGGTTTATAAAAACTGAGCTTTTGGTGCCCACTCAGCAGACTTGTATAATATCTTGTTTTTTAACTTTTCTCTAATTTAGAATCAAAAAATGTTCAGTGAAGGTAATTTTACTAGTCTTACTCATGTGTATGATCTAATTTTTTTCCTCCATTTAAGAGAATCAAAGCTTACTCAGAACATGACATTTAGGAATTTGAGGTGATTGATCTGGTAATTAAGTGTTTTAACTAAGTTTTATTTTTAATTATTTGACTTGTTTGACTTGTTGACATTATGAAGGAAATGATTGTATAGTCTCACAAATTCCATGGTTCTCAATTGTTTCATAATCATTCAGTCAATCAGAAAGTCCATGTAGGAGTCATGTTCCCTGGGTACATACATAGAATCACTTTGGAATTCACAATTTTCCATTGCCCAGGGCTTCATCCCAAACCAGTGCAGCGGGGGTGGTGCGCAGCAGAGCTGTGTGGCCGCCTCGCCCTGGGAACAATTCGTCTTGCCTTCCTGCCTTTCCAACCTTGGGCAACGTTCTTACCTTGTGCTGTACCTGTTTTCTCTAGAAATAGATTTTTTTTTTCTATTGAGAAAATAGCAGTAACCTGTCCAGTGGCCCCTCTGCCATAGGAGTTTGTGAGAATTAAATGAGTGAAAACACAGAACGCATTTACAGCAGTACTTGGGTGTAGTAAGTATCTAGTAAGCGTTGACTGATGCTACTTAGAATCTACAAACAGGAATTTCACTTAATCTGATTCACTGAATCTAGGAGCAAAAAATTATGTGCCCAGAAATGTCGCCTGCAAATGCGGTGATACTGGTAGCAAAACCCCAGAAGCATTAATCTGTCTTACTTTAAACCCAGTCTCTTAGGTTTACCTGATCTCGATTCCTAGCATCTGTGGATGGACTTCTCAGCTGAAAGGCTCCCAAACATAAATACCATCTGTCAAAGAAACTGGTGACTCTGCTTAACTGAATACCCTAACTTGAAAGTCAGAGTCTTCAGATCCTCTTGCTGTTTCAGCTCCACCCACACCTCCTCACCACCCACTCCCCGTTCCTTTGAACCCTCAGACTTAGAGGCAGTTCTCTGTAGTCTTGTCTCCAGTTCTTTAGTGTCTCCAAGATTCCATAGTTGAGAGCTTAATCCACCTACCCAAGTTTTAGGAAATAAGATTCACAGATATTTAGGGAAATGCTCTCCCATGCATTACCCAGGTCTTGGGCCATAACTGGGAAAATGGCTTGAGAATTAGAAACTTTCAAAAATGAAATTCATGATATATAAGCAGAAATTACCACAGTGAGAAAAAAATGGAAATCAAGATAAATGAATTCTGTGATCTCTCAAAGGTAGGATACAAAGAATAAAGTACAGGCTCCATCATTAAAGAATTATAAAAAAAATCTATAAAAGTCTTAGGAAAACTTCACTATCTAAAGTGAACTGTTGACAAATGCTAAGGGCAACAGAAGGATTTTCTAAAGATGTTTTTATAGCAAAAACAAAGACTTACTATTGGGTTTATGGGAAATTCCTGATGCATAGAAAAAATACATCATGACTGTTGCAACAACTTCCCTTTTATTTTTCATCAAACAAGATCAGAGGAAAATAATCCCTGATGAGAGGGAAGTAAAACATAGTACACTAGATAAGGGGATTGATTATGCAGGAATACCCAGTAACCTTAGCTGGAAGTTTTGTTGTTCATATAAATGATCTTTTTTTAATCTCTAATTTTTTTTTTTAAGATTTATTTATTCATACAGAACTGGGGAACAGGCCAGAGGTGCAGGGATGGTGAGAGACTTCACAAGAGATTGGGGAGCAGAACAGGCAGATGGACTGAAATATACTGCTGACAGGAGCAGCAGGCAAGACAGGAGAGATCTGCTGTGCCATGTGGGTCACCTTCAGAGCCAGGGATAGACTCTTACTGAATCAGCTGTAACAGCTTTACAGTGCTGCACTTTAACCCATTGCACCACAACGGAGGACCCCATATAAATGATCTTTTACAGATAATGAGACATTCTGATAAGTAATGTTCAAATAACTATGCAAGGGAGCAGAAGTGATGTGAAGCTGGACATAAATGGAGGGAAAAGGAAAAAGTGGATTCTACCTTCCAAAATGTGACAGACTTTGATGTTGATATAGCACAAGACTTTAGGATGTGTTACTAAAACTTATTTTAAATTACAGGCAGAAACTAACATAAGGAGATATTATAGATTTTTTTAAAATGATGTATTTTTACATCATTTTGTGCCTTCTTCCATCTCAGTTGTAATCCCTGTGGGCTTCCCATCACCAAATCACCCATGTGCCATCACCATAGTCCATTGCATTTCCCTCCCCCCACTGTTTTCG